TACCTTCTTTGCCTAAGACTAAAAAGGAAAAAGCCAGAAATGCTCTCAGTTCCTAATTCCTGTTGTGGGCTGGTAACACACAGCATTTTTGTGGACTGGGTGTTGTCAGCCCTGCTCAGCTGTTTTATTGCTAAACTACTTAAACCCTCCCACTCTGCTTTCTCTACAACACTACAAGTAGAGACTCATGTTTTTGTGGTCCAAGATATTAATTGGGAAGTCTAATTACACTCCTTAAATAACAAAGCAAGTATGCACAGGGCAGCCCTGAATTTCAGATCAACTGTATTTTTTTGCACTAATCAATACAACACAATGCTTTCAATTGTATCTTTACCAAAACAAAGGAAGACATAAGTGAAGTTCACTGATAGGGGTTTACATACATTTTAATATAACTAGCGTAGGGAGAAGCTGGATAGCCCAAAACCTTGCAGATGAGGTCTAATTTTCTGAGCATTGCCTGTTGTTCCCAGTCAACATATCAGTACGTATTGTTTGTGAGCGGGGCCTGACTGACTCATGAATCCTGCATCATTCCATCTTTTCATGTCTAAACAGTCCCTACTAGCCAGTTACATCTGGCTCTCAAGTGTAAAAGGAAAGATCCTACGGTTTTGCTATGTGCCTAATATTTTACACAACAGCAGTAAAGGAGAACCTGTGGAAAAAGCCATAAAAACCAATTAAATAGATCCTAGACAAATCAGTCTTCATTAATATCACTTCACTAATTTGTTAATAGCTGATGTAAAGTGTTATTTAAATCCTTGAACAAATAAGTAATATATTGCAGCTTAGCAGTACTTAGGTGGCTGCAAATTTGACAGCTGGTTGTTCGAACTCTCTGGGGTTGATTTACTAAAGTCAAATAGGCTGTTTACTTTGCAAAGGAATTTGCACTTTCCAGGGGAAGTTTCCCTTTGCTTAGTGAATGTGGTGTAGAGAATACCCAATCAAGTGCAACGAAAATAGAAAACAAAAATGGGTTTTTGCTTAAACATGATTGGATAATGGAAGTCAGCAGAGCTTCACCACATTCACTAAACTAAGGTGAAAGTTTCCCTACAAATTGCAAATTCCCGTGCAAAGTAAACAGTCTATTTGAATTTCGTAAATCCACCCCTCTGTGTGCATTCAGCAGTTTCTCTGGCAGCAACAATCCTAGTAATTCTCCACCCCTTGTCATCCATGCATGTGAATGTAGCTTAGCGAAGAATTCCAGGCAAAACTTTTATTAACCCTTGCAGTGGAGCTACCCCAGCACTGCAAGGGTTTACTCAGGGGCAGACTGGGCCAGGGGGCAGGGTGGCAATTGCCCCCCGGGCCTCTCTGATGCCACCACGAACTGCCCCTTGACCCCCGCTGCACCCGGCCGCCCACCGCATCCGACGCGGCTCTGTGATCGGTGCGACCGCTGCTCATCAAGGAGGTGCTCTGGAGGCCCCAGCAGGGGGCCCTCTAACATGCCTTGTCTACCTGGTACAGCCAGCCCGGATCACCTCGGTATGCAATCCGGGCTGGCTGGATCAGGCAGACGCGGCCCTGTAATCAGGCGCTGTAGAGGGCATTGGGAGACGGGAGGCCGTGCATGTCGGTGGATACAGGGATCAGGTATTAAGAAAAAAAAAATTGGTTTATTTTATGTTCCCGGGGACATCATTTGTCAGGGGACGGTCTCCTGAATCCGGGGACTGTGCCATGAAATCAGGGATGAATGGACGATTATAATCGATGATTATAAAAAGTTGTCAACATATTAAATCATCGATGAATCAGCTTTCTATTAGTTGTCCCTGTTCACGGCTTCACACACGCCGCGTGCCACACCTCCTCCCCGCCTCACGGTTGCCACTGCCAGACCCGCCCGCATCCACGCTCCACATCCCGCACCTCCTATGCCACTGCCAGGCCTGCCCACCCACATCCACGCTCCACATGCCGCACCTCCTCCCCGCCTCATATTATTCTGTATTATTCGCAGCAGTCATGCACGCGCACAGCCCTGACGAGGCATCCCTCCACTACCAGTGTACTTTACATTTCCTAAACCGATAAATACATTCACACTACTGTTACATGGATGGCAAAAGTGGCAGACAGGGGCGGGGAGAAGGCGGGGGAAGAGGCAGATCGGGAGGGGGGCCAAGTTGCTGCACCATGGGCCTCTGGGTTGTACTTGCCCCCTGGGCTAAAAGTTGCCAGTCAGCCCCTGGGTTTACTGCTAGTTTGCCAAGTGCTAAAAAAAACCAAAAAGTTATACTCACCTAACCACTGAGTCGGCTCATTGCTTCTCCAGTCTCTGAAGCCTGTCTGCTCCTATGCTGCAGTATTAACACTTGCAGTGTGGGGGTATCCCCACTGCAAGGGTTAATAAACATTTTGCCTGGAGTTCCTCTTTAAAAAGTGCACCACAGCAGTTGTCTCAATCTCAATCTTGGAGAGGTGGCTACTTTACAACACCCTCCAGAAGGAAGGACAGTGTCAGCATGACTTCAGAGATGATGTGAGGATCCACAGCTGAGTGATGCAGAAATGAGCTAAATTCATGTTAATAGTAAAGATAATTCAATGCATTTTTAAGATTTAACTCTCGAGTTTAGTGTCTCTTTAATAACCACATTGATCTAGAAGTTTGTAAACTTTACTTACTTAAGATACCCATAGGGTGAACTTCCTCAATCCACTGGCACATTTTCACTCAGCCCTGTGAATATGTTCTCCCTTATGTCACACCTCACATAGAGCCTGCCTTCTGAACTACAACTCAACATCTGCTCAATGTAACATCATCATCGTTTACAGAAAGCAATTCATGATGGGCTATATAGTCTTGAGAAATCAATATTACATCACGCAGCAGGGATGCAAAGCACACTGAGAATTCAGGAAGTTGTTGAAAGTGATGGGCAGACGGAAGGCAGCACTCAATACAATAATAGGATTTTTTTCAAGTAAGCTTTGATTACATTATCAAAAAGCAACTCTAATATATATACCTATTACAATGCTGATGCTATAACAGGATAGTATATGCTGGGACTTTACAACTCCTTTAAACATTTTGCTTCAGAGTTAGTTAATTCATTAAAAGAAGATTAGGTGCCATCTGGTGGCACAACATAAAAGTGAACATGAACTGCAACATCTAACCTAATTCAGTTCAGCTGAGATGAGCAGGTACAATACTGACATCTGATGGTCACAGAAGAGAAGGACATGTGAATTATAACAGCCTTTTTCCAGACTTCTTGCAGTGAAAGAATAAAAAAAAGTCTATATTTTAATGTATTATAGTACATTTATAGTGAAGATTGATTGGAAAATGTGGTTTTAGACAAGTTTCGATTGGGAAATATTGATAAAATTAATGACTGGCCTGTTGAAAAAAAACTAATGTTTAAAAGCAAATGTTTTGTCAGCAAGTGTAACATTGTCTCTATTATAACAACTGTGAATATTACTGAAACCTGGATTTGTCACATAAAGCTGGCCATACATCTATAGATTTTCTGAAGATTTTCTATGGTCAGATGGAAAAAGTGCAACAGATTCCTCCATCTACGCTAAACTGTGTGGATGGAGGAATCCCCCACCGGGACAAGCTTCAGTATCTTGTTAGTCGGCCCCGCTGGCTCTCAAAATACCTGAACAATGCCTGCATCCAATCAGATTGTTCAGGTATTTTAAAAGCCAGCAGGGCCGACTAGCAAGATACTGAAGCTTGGCCCAGTGGGGGATTCCTCCATCCACACAGTTTAGCGTAGATGGAGGAATCTGTTGCACTTTTTCCATCTGACCATAGAAAATCTGCAGATAATCTATAGGTGTATGGCCAGCTTTAGAGAAATGCAGATTCTGTGCAAATGTAACTGTTACTACATTAGATGACGCCTGGTCATCATATAAATGATTGTTTTATAAACATGCAAGCTCAAATCAGGCTTTTTAGTAAAAAAAAAACAGCAATCGCCTAGGATAATCTGCACCAGCAGTTTAATGGGTTTTTTAAAATATGGCCAGGTAGCATCGGGAGAAGCACAGAGATGTATGAATGTCCCCCAGTTAAACCACAGACCTCCAGTCACCTATGTCTGGAGGAAGCTCAACTTGAGTAAGCAAACATATAGGCAATAGGTAGTTAGCGATTCTACATTTTATACACAGAAAACGTTTCATCAGCAAAAAGACTAAAGTAAAACTAGGGAATCTATTATAAACTTTTTAAAAGTATTCATGTGTAATATATCTACAGCAGTCATTGCAAACTTCTTTCTGAGCTGCTTGGCTGTCTCTGGCTGCAATATTTTGATACTGGCATGTAACAAGAATGCAGATCGAAAATGTTAAGGGTGAAGACAGACCTCCTAATAGGTAAAGATATCCCATCGCACTCCAGACTGACGTATCTCTTCTTGCAACTGAAGTGGGTGCTGAAGTGGCGAGCGGATGGCGCCACAAAGACAATAGAGGTAATGAGGTCACCAGCACACCAAGGTCCACATTATCAGTCTGTCCTTTACTGACGTTAAATAAAAATGCTATCACATGATACTGCAACGTTTCGGAAACAGTGTGGTCCCTTCATCAGGCAAAACAATGTGCCCGACCTCCTAACAGTTTTACTTGCTCCGAGTGACTTAAAAATTACTTGAGCCACCAGGCCTGAAGAACAGCAAGTAAATTAGTATTTTAAGAAGGAAAGATCAGCAATGGCAGCCTCCATACTACTTCACTCTAGGTTTAAAGTAACCTGTCAAGGTAGATATAACCTGGTACATCTGAGGCTCTTGTTCAGTTCCAAAGGCTGCCAATGCCGGACTTCTGGAGAAAGTGCAAGTTCGAGGCCAAGTAAAACCTGTGCATCATCTCATGTAATGGCATGTCTGTCCCTGAGCTAGCACTGCTTCCTGGAGTCAGACAAAGAAAGCCTTAGGTGCGACAGACAACAGCCATCATGACAGGTTCCCTTCAAGAGATTGGTTAGAGTCACAATTTACCTCCAGTTGGCTTCTTGCAGGAATGGATTCTTGCTCACTCCCAGTCTGCTTAAACTCACACAGCCATCCAGCGAGAGGGATACTGCCCCTAGCTCTTAAAATATAATTAAAAGTGTAAATGCATGAAAATGTGAGACATTACAAAAAAAAGAAATCATTTCTAAATTTACCTGATAAGCAGTTGTTACTGAGGTCCATGTGTTCCAAGGAGATAAAGGAATTAAATGGTGCAAGATGTGTCAAGCTGTAAAATCAGAACAGAAATATGAATGTATTACCTAGCCCCAGGTAAAAATCTTATATGCAATTCAAAAACACCAGTATGTGCAGTCAAACTATTAACATTACTTCCACGTTTACTATTATACAAAACAGAACTGCTGTGGAATCTGAATTTCAAGAATGTGGCTGTAAGGTCAGAAGAGGGAACATTGATTACAGAATTAGAGAACACAGATAGGAAAATACATATTGGTATATTGCTACTTTTCAAACAACTATTCAAAGTGTTTTCTACAAGTTAAGAATAAACATTGAGGCTGGAATTTCCCTACAAACCTAACCACTAGTTATGATCTGATGTAATACAGCAGCTTTGACAGTTTTTCTTTATTCCACATTGCTATTGTTAAATACCATTTGATATGTACCTGTTCTTTGAAATTGAAAACATTTGCATCAAAGGTAGCCAATATGAGGGCATATCTCTCAGTGTTGTTATGTTGTTATCATCCAAGTACAGTTCTCTCAGGAGCACATGATTATTGAATTTAGGAATCTGCGAAAACAAGAACAGTTTGCTACATAAGTCTTTTTTTCTGCAGACATACGAGTGTATGAGTGCACTCATTTTGGGTCACATTTAAGTGTTAAACATGAGAACTATCTTTGTTTCTGTACTAGAATGCAATCTAATCCCTTTTTTGTCTTTAAGGAGGAGAAGTGTAGTGGAAATGAAGTCTTCTACCACAAAAGATTCTTCCTGCTTGTCAGCAATTTGTTTTGTTTCTGTACACTAAGCCGTGCATTTGCAGCTCAATGCACAGGCTCAGGAGGATTTTAGCCAAGATGAAGTAAATTCCGTAGGCATGTGCGTTAGTTAAGTCATCAGGGCCTGGCCAATCAAGGGGCCAGACTTAAAAACCAGAAGACCAGAACAAAGAAGGAAGCACTGGTGAGGTAAGAGAGCGCTGACATCACAGCACTAGAGGGGATCGATTTGCCAGGTAAGACTGCCATAATGTATTAATATGCTTTGCATGTTATGGCTAAAAGGCCCTAGTTGCCCTCTTTTTTTTATTATTTACAATCTTTACTTCCACTTTATATATGAAATAGAGAAGTTGACTGACTGCTACAGACAGTTCTTCAGCCAAATACTTTCTACATGAAGGCTTCCGTAAAACTGACCCTATATTATGAGCATACAGTACCACCAGACTGCACTCCCCCCAAAACCACTCTGCATCCTCCTTACCCCAGCAAAAGTCAATTTTTCAATTTAGTTTTGTCGGGGCTGGTCTGAAAATTCTGTCAAACAGTGACAGCAGCCAATCAGCTGAATTCACTGTTGGGATATTCTGACACCCACCACTGTCAGAATACAATAGCTGAATATCGGAGGATTCCTCCATCCATGCCTGTGGGACTGAAAAAAGAAAAAAAAAAGAAGACTATTGTATGCCCAACTTAACAGTGATCACACACCAATGGCTCATGAGCAATCTGCTCCCACAAATGCTGCATATCATCAAATGTTCAACACAGTAATTGTCTTCATAGAAAGCACAATGCCTTTCAGATATCTCATGACCATTAAGCCTAATAACACCTAATTTATGCATCTGTAATTACTCGGCTACTCTCTACCATGCAGAATGTAGCTAATCAGATTATTAAAATATTTACAGCAGCACAGTATATAGTTAGGATCTGATGATCTTCTAAGGAGGGGTTTGTTAACTTAGATGATAACATTAACAAAGCATGTAGGAGCAAATATAGTGTGTATGCAACTACACACTGGCCTTAAATGACTATATGACAGCCTCCAAAGGGGAAGTACATGGCAACATACATACAGCAGTCTAAGGTACATAGGCAGCCCATGGGTCACTCTTATGTGGTGTAATCTCTATACACTGATGATTGCATGAGATGCCTTCATGAAATTGATTTACATTTAAAATAGTAAGTTGGAATTTAAGAGCTTAAAGTCAGTAGCACCCTTGACTTCTCACTGGGTCAAATCATGGACACTGTCTGCATAAAGACTACATGTTCTTCTAATGTTTGCATGGAAGTACTCTTGGCACTCTCCAAATTGGCCCTAGAGTATGTGTGAGTATGGGCGGGACATTAGAATGTGATCTCTTTTGGAGATGTGGACTGATATCAAGAGATCTATATTGTATGTAACATACTGCACAATATATCAGTGCCATATAAATAATTCAATAAATAACAGAGAAAAGGGACTTACAGAGAATTTGCATAAGGTGCATCACACACAATTATGGTTTATTGAATGAGCCAATTGACAAACCCCAGAAAAGCTCAACGTATTATTCCCATAGAGACCAGTATAGGTATATACCTGCTGTGTTCAATGGTTAAATCTAGCCCTAGCCAAGGTATTACAATGCATCTCCATAATTCCAACTGAATTATTAAGTAGCATAATAGGTGATGCTCATTTCATCAAAATTGTTCTATAGCAATCTACTTATGTAATGTGTGAATGTAAAAAATTCTGCATCATTTTAGCATCATTCGCTATTTTAATCTGCAATATGCTGAAAAGAAATAAAAATATCTTTACCTCTGACATGAAGGTCTATAATTTTTTGGCATGTAAATCCACTAAGAGCAAAAGTATAGGTACAACTGTTATAGTTATGAAAAGGTTACACAGAGTAATCTTGTTAGTCTAGTCAAGTAGCCATAATTTGTCATTTTAGACATAAAAAGAAGCACGAAAGCCACAATGTATTATTTTACCTCAGTCAAGTTGTTCCCTAGTAACTTTAGAATCTGCAGCAAGCCACAATTCTGAATTCCTTCAAGTTCAGTAAGATAGTTATAGGAGCAGTCCAAGTATGTGAGCAGAGGTGTTGCCTCCAGACCTCTAGTGGAGATTAGACGATTGTGATCCAAAACTAACCTCTGAAGATTTCTCAGAGAATTAAGCCCACCTAAACCAAATACAATATATTAACATCTTCCTTGTACACAGCGGGTTTTTAATTGGTTTAAAAAAAAAATTAAACAAGTTAACAGAGATGAATAAAGGTGTCCATACACCTATCGATTATTAATCGGAAATCATCCACGAATGGTCTTTCGAAGGATAACTGATCAGTTGATGGGAACCCAGCGATTTTTTTTACTGTACTCCTGGACGAATTTTCTTGAAGCGTGAGACTGGAAAAATGTCTTAGAATCGTACGAAAATCGATGAATTAGTGGCGTTTTCGTATGAAAAAGAAAATCGCAACAAGAACACTGCACATTTGTTTTTCAGTTGATCAACGAAATTCGGCAAATTAGTATTACTAACGAATGATTATCGAAATCGACATTGGTCTGTGCATGATTGGGTATTAGAGCAGAAATCGAACAAGGGTTCGATGACAGCATGAAAGAAATCGAACAATAATCGCAGAGTGTATGACCAGCTCTACGTTAAGCAATTTTGTAATTTTGGCAGGTAGGGGAATGGTGGTGAGGAAACAGGAAGATGCTGAAATGATCAAAATTGGCAAACATTGCTAATGTTTTAGGCTTCTGCACTAAACATAAAAAAATAATGAGTTCCAATGTAGGTCGTTCACACGCGTTATTCTGGCCAGATTACACGCTTTCCAGCTATAGTATGTTGTGTCGTTTTCCGCGCAGGAAACACTACCGCTATGTGTGAATGGAGTCTCGGAAAAAACTTACAGGGAAGTTACTAAAAATAAAACAGTGTTTTGCATTGCTTTCTTATAGTGCTGGAAACAATATTTTTTACTGACTGTAATAAGACATATAGCAACAGACTACAGTGAAGGACTGCACACCAGTTTCTGCTTTTCAAATGTTATGTGTGAGCTTTCCATTGTGCATTTTATAAAAGGGATGGACTCAACTGGTAAAATTGGACTCAACTGGAAAGACAAGACAGCCTGGAAGAGTCTAAGCAGGTTTGTCCTGCACTTTTTTTCAGCAAGGAAGCAAAGAAATACAATTTTCAATGCAGGAGAGCTTTGTACAACAAGTTCACAGCATTAAAGAGACACTAAACTCAGGAGTTAAATCTTAAAAATACATTCAAGTACCTTAAAGTGACATTAAACCCTCAGAATTGTTAACATAAACCAATACTGTAATGTGTGCCTTACTGTAATCCATGGTTGTTTCCCTTCTCTTTGCTGCTCTTCCTTTTAAATCCTAATGTCTTCTCATGCTGGTTTCAGCTCAGGGCCTCTTCCTGTAGTGCTGGCTCAGGTTTCAAGCCTATACAAACGTATACACAGACACCGTGTATCCATTCCTGAGACAAGGCAGTCTGCTGCAAAACAGAAGTTCTGCAGAGCCTGAGAACAGATACAGATTTAAAAGAGCAGCAAAGAGAAGGGAAACAACCATGGATTACAGTAAGGCACACATTACAGTATTGGTTTATGTTAAAAAATCTGAGGGTTTAATGTCACTTTAATTATGATTCTTATTTGTGTATCACTCAGCTGTAGATCCTCAAATCATCTCTGAATTCATGCTGACACTGTCCTTCCTTCTGAAGGATGGCTACTTTTGTTAAAAATAAATCTACAATCTGTGCTCCGGATTTATTTAAAACAAAAAAACTTCACATGAGTAAAGTGCCTAATGCAACACATTAAGCTTTTTAGTCTCATAGTAATAATAATGTATTGAGAAACCTAGAGCATTAGTATTGAGAGAACAAGTTATTCATGCACTGTGAGGACATCTAGTGATGGAAAAAGATATGGCACCTTTTTTGGCTATAAAATGTAAAGACCAGTTGGTTTCAGCATGCACGCCGTCGGGTCGAAGTCCCTGTGATGCAACGCGTTGATAGGCGGCCGCATACTGAGGTCATCACATCGAGGAACAGTGTGGAGAGAGATTCAGAACATACGGACGGTGATTTTGTATAAGACATTGTCTTTTTCGGCTATGCGAGTAAGTTATATTCTTTTGGAAGAGAAGCTCCAGGGACCGGTCTCCAGGAGCCGAAGGAACTGGAACTTCTGATTATGGAAGAGTAAGTGACTCCGTTCATGTGACAGGGCTAAGGCTTGGTTATCAGCCCAGCACTTTTATATGGGGATAGGCAGAATCCGCAGCTACAGTATGTTTATTCCAGGGCCGTCACACAGGCCCTGTATAAGGTACGACTTCAGCGATTTATAGCATATACTTGGCTTTCCTTTAACTCCCGCTGGCTGAACAATATGGCAAGGTAAGTATATGCTTCTGTGGAGGTCTGCATTAAAGTAAGCCTGTTGATTAACATGCACAAATGAAACTTTAAAGCTGGAGTCCAGGAAGACAGCTTCACACACAGATGAAAGACGTACTGAGGAGAATTTATTAAAAAACTGGAGCAGACACAACTTAGAGCCGATGTGCATGGCAACCAATCAGCCTCTCACTTTAATTTTCAAATCTTAACTGAACAAACTGAAGATAGAAACTGATTGCTTGCCATGCACAGCTGCTCCATTTTTTGTTGGCTCCAGTTCTGATAAATTCCCCCACTGTATACAATAGCTGGTTACCTGTCAAAGTACTTGTTTTCAGTCCATTCGTTCCTGAGATTTACACAGCCCTGCCACACAGCACAGTACTGCCTGGCATAGGAGGGGACCTGATCATTTTCTTCTGCATATTCACTTTAATTTATAGGTCTCCTGCGCACACACACACCCTGTGACTGAACAGTCAAACAGGAAGTAGCACACTGATGAGCTCATCTCTCTGCCACTCTGCTCTCTCCTCCTATCACACTCTTTGCACTGCAGGATACCTGTCTGCGATCTGCTGTACAGTAGACTGCAAAAGTCTGATACCAGGTCAAATTAAGGTACTTACACTGCTTGCATTAAGAAAAAATGCATATAATGATATATTAACAATCACAGTGCTTCATTATTTGTGCCTTTAATATCTGTCTGGAGTTCAGATTTAAATGATAATTAAAGAAACAAGGAAAAAAAATGTGATCATTTGATGCTTATCGGTCCTTCAATGTGGTGGCTGCGTTCGTTTTCTTTTTTCAGACTAAGAACTTTCACTAAGAACAGTCAAAATACACATCATGAAAGACCGCACTTACTAATTCTAGTTATTGAATTGAACGATAACTCCAAATTTCTTAGGTTTGTACAGTTGTCCAGTCCATGTATTGATGTAATTTGATTCTTGTTCAACAAGAGTGCAGTTAGATTTTCCAGATCTTCACAATTAATAACATTGATGCAGTTTTCCTGTGTGAAGCAGCACATGCAAGAATAATCAATACTGTCATTATTAAAAGCTTTTAATTTAAGGTTAATTTTAGGAGTTTAGTAATGTGATTTGTGCATTCAGCAATCATTACAATGTAAACCTGAAATTATTTAAATAAAACATAAATTTAAAAGGGAAACAATACCATACTGTCAGTTAGAACACATAAATCATTATTGTGCAGTTTTTCTGAAACAGATATATGGTATTCCTTTTAACGTGATTACTCCATATTTTGTGATGGTATTCAATATACTAATTTGTAGACTATCCCTCTACTGAATATAAAGAGGTCTAAAAAAGCAAAGAAGCAAAAGTAGTTGCCGGTTCAGGAACATTATGACCACCTTTAGGTACCAGTACTGCATGGCTGTCACACAAACATGAAATCTAATTATGGATGAGCTGTCATGTTTATGCTATGGCAAGGGTAGGTACAAGTAGGCACCTGCAGCATCATCTTATCTCGGGTTAAACAAAGATTTTTTGCCCTGTTTAATCATTATCATGGACTCGCAATTTCCAGGTGTCTTTGGACATAAGAAAACAGGCAATAGGAACATGTCAGATTCTGGAGGGCCAAAACTGGAAATGTTGTAGAAGTCTGGTATATACGGTAACTGGATCACTTTCACGGTCAACTCAAGATACAGTATGTGCAACATTGCCATAACCTGTTTAGTACCTGTGGTAGCCACTGCTCCAAGCTTGCTCCCATGATAGACTACAATCTAGATACAATAAAATTTAGTAAACTAAAAGTGAGATTGTAGTCCAGCACGGGGAGCAAGCTTGGAGTTGTGGCTACTTGACAACACACACAGGGACTATGGGGAACAAAAGTAGCCCCCCTCCAGAAGGAAGGACAGTGTCAGCACCAATTCAGAGATGATTTAAGGACCTAGAGCTGAGTGATACACAAATAAGCTAAATTTTTTTAAATAGTTGCAGTACTTGAATGTATTTTTTAAGATTTAACTGCTGGGTGTAGTGTCACTTTAAATAGCCAATGCTTAACACATCAGGTAATGACTATGGAAATAACCAGTCAGGACCAGAGACCCTGGTTAGAGGGGTTGTAACTGGGATGGGTGGTAATCAGCAGCTTAAGGCAGGTTATCTGCAAATGCATCCAGGTAAGAAGAGACTCAGAAGCATAGTCAGGAAGAGGAGTCAGAGGACATAACAATGTCAGAACTAGAGCAAAGTGCAAACATGTAGTCAGGAAACACTACAGGTAGTGTTCAAGCAACGTCACTAACTAGGATTACTTCAAAACAACAAGGGCACTCAAAAGATGACAAACACTACCACACACCAATTGAGAATGTTAAAGCTTGTCCTGGGGAAGGGAGCTGGACCCATTTGGACACATGCCAATGTCCAATGAAAGACAGATGCACTTGGTCATACCGATACTAGTGGGCAACCACACCAAGGAAGTGCACCAGAAGAAATTGAAACAGAGGAAGAAAAGGTCAACAGTCAACAATTAGATAGGGCTGTATTCCGGGCAAGACCACTAACGAAATTCTACTATCCAGATTAAATATTTCTATTACTGTGTGTGTAAAGATTTGAAAGCATGGTTGAAATTGTTTATATTACACTGTCTTGTTTTTATGTATGTAAATACACAAGGGCTAAATTGTAAAGAACAGTTCTTAGTCGTTACCTTTCATGGGCAATGAATTCAAGTACCAGTGACAAACAAGACAATCACTTCAGAGCAACCCTCTTACCCAACCACCACCACCACCATTTCAAAACATCTTCTAAGAGTCAAATGCATAGGCTGCTATTGCTGACCGCATTCTAAGATTTCTAGTTGCTTGCCTGCCATGCTGATCCTCTAACTTCAAAACGTTCTGAGCCGATATCTAGGTCAGTCACTCAAAAACTAAAGAAGCCAAAGGTTCAGTCTGACAGTTCATAAATTCCAAATTAGAACAGCAATTCCAATGTATTCATTTCTATAAAAAGATCACGGCTGTTAGCTTTCTGTGAAATATGTAGAAGGGTTATGATGGAAGTTACCCTTACAAACAATGAATAGTATTTACCAAAATTATTTCAGTAATGTAAAAAAAATTAGATTTATAAGGGGGAAAAAAACCCAAAACAAACAGTTCTATTCACTAAAGGGTGAAGAGTTTGGAGAAGGCAGGAGAAGTGAACAATCTAGGACAACATAGCTGAACTGGAAAGGGAGCTGAATTGGAGAATGTTTCCAAATCAGCTATGTTGGCCAAGATTGTTCACTTCTCCTGCCTTCTCCAAACCCTTCATTCTTTAATGAATAACCCTGAAAATTAACATTATGACATGTCGATGTAAATAAACAAAAAAGCTAGCTATAGAAAACAGGAGTACCTGTACATCAATATATTGTAGTTGCTTGCAGTTACTTATACCATCAAGTGCAGTTAACATGCAGTGCCTCAGGGACAGATATTTGAGCTTATCACAGTTTGATAATGTAGAAAGGCTACATCCAGGTAAGTCATGTAGAGTCACTGTTGTAACCTAAAAAAAACCAACAACAAAACATGTGTATGTTACTGCAGGCGAAAGAGACCCTATCATGTCCTCTAGCAGCAGAACCAATCATTTTCTTGCAGCTGATTTTTTTACCTAGTACAAGAAATACACTACTAAGTGCATGTCTGTAGCTGCTACAAATCGCTGCTTGAAACTTCTTGTAAAAACTCCTTTAAAAACTGTTGCAACTGCTCAAGTGCCCCTGGCAGTGTCCGGGTCCAGTGCAGTACAATCCAGGTGCTTTCCTGCATTGAGCCTGCCATCAATTTTCAATACACGCAACATACAGATCATGTGCTGAAAAAAAAAAATGTGTTTGCACACGGTTCCAGATTCAGTAAAAATCGTCCCTTTTCAATCAAGGCATAAAATCAGGATTGCGATGTTTGTTTTCTTGTTTTGATTGAATAAAGAAGATTTTTTTACTAGATCCAAAACCGTGTGTAAACACTGTTTATTATAAAGAGCTGGTGAAAGCCTAGGTTGTGCTCCAGTGTTCCATGGAAATGCATTGGATGGAGGAGGTGGAGGATTCTGTTTGTATTTTGAGCTTGTACAGACCAAAATGCTTCTGTGCAATGCGGTGGCTATAACACAGGTGCATTGCACTGCACTGTATATTTCAGGATTTGTCTTACACAGCTACCTCCTCATGTATCACTTCTCCCTTCCTTTTAGATTGTAAGCCCTCATCGGCAGGTCCCTCCTTACCATCTTGTCTTGAATTGTATTGTAATGTCTTCCTTATATTGTAAAGCGCTGCGCAAACTATCCTGTATAATAATAGTTCTTCAAGGGCCATTCCTCTTAAACACATATTTTAGCTGTGAGTCAATTCTGGAGGCCTAAATTACCAACTGGCTTTTTATATTTGCCTTGTGAATCCCAATGTCCCCAGTTCTGCTTTCCGGAAAGGTAATAGGTTTTATTTTCCCTGTGGATTTGACCAGTAACTCAGCTAAGTGAAAGCGAAGCAAAATAAGGTAGGTAAATCTTAAAAATGCATTCAAGTACCTTAACTAGTAAGAAAAAATGTACCTTATTTGTGTATCACTCACTGTAGATCCTCAAAACATCTCTGAATTGGTGCTGACACTGTGTAACAAACTCCCCCGTCCTCCGGTCCCGGCATGTCCAGGAGTTCCGTCACCGGACTCCTCCCCCTTCCTCTGCTTAAGCCGACGGATCCACTTGCCTGGCGTTCGTGCAATGTGTGTGTCATGCCAAGCAAGTACCTCCACGGCACCACGGAACCTTCCACGCTGTTGGGCCTGACAGAGCCCCTTCAGCAGCGGCTGCCAGCGACCCCTCGTCTCCCGGTCTCTCTGCTGGTCTGCAGACGCTGAGTCTTCCACTCTAGCCCGCAAGACAAAGCCTACACTTCCCCCAGCTGAGGAACGTCTCTGCTTGCTACGCTACTGAGATCCACTCGGTGGCACTAGAGGACCGTTATATACTAACTGCATGTACTACTTCTTATGATCAGCTGCCTTACTAACTGCAATTGCTATCTCCTATATCAGCTGCTCTATTGAACTGCAAATGCTATCTCTTATGCCAGCTGCCTTATTGAACTGCAACTGCTATCTACCACATCAGCTGCTCTATTGAACTGCCATTGCTAGCTCCTATATCAGCTGCCTTATTGAACTGCAAATATTATCTCCTACAATAAGTTGTCTCATTTGAACTACCTCTACTGAACTCCCCTAGTTATATGCAAGACATCTCCCTGCGCACATACACTACTGGTGTAACGGACCCCTTACCAATTGGCTGATTCTACCATCCCTACCGAGCCTTATCAGAAGCTGCGATCCATGCATTTCTAGACTAACCGGGCCTGGTGTATTACACACTGTCCTTCCTTCAAGAGGGTAGCTACTTTTGTTCCCCATGGTCCCTGTGTGTGTTATGAAGTAGCCACTACTCCAAGCTCGTTCTTGTGATGGGCTATAATCTGAATACAAGTTAGTAAACTAAACATGAGATTGTAGTCCATCACAGGAGTGAGCTTAGGGCGGTGGGAACTTTACAACACACACAGGGACCATGGGTAACAAAAGTAGCCACCCTCCAGAAGGAAGGACCATGTCAGCACCAATTCAGACATGATTTGAGGATCTACAGCTGAGTGATGCACAAATAAAATACATTTTTGCTAATAGTTAGGGTACTTGAAAGCATTTTTAACATTTAATTCCTGAATTTAGTGTCACTTTATTAGCTGAAGTCTCAGAAAGATGTCTTTTGGTTAGACTTAAGCTATTTAAGATGTCAAAGAGACACAACTGCAAACTAGACAATCACCTTCACTACATCTATCAGCTGGGATGACGGCTAAAATCACAATGTACCCGCAGATGTGATCATTACTCAAACTGGCTGAAAACAGCTAGATCAGCTGACAATCCTCTAACATCAAGATTACTTTATGTGAAACACCAGTCTGGTGACAATTCAGAGTTATAGCTGGAAATATTATAGTTGGATAAAGATGTACAAGTGAAACACCTAAATACTGATGTAATTACACCCATCACTCTGCTCTGTGGTGCTGAGAGCCTATATTGAAGGTAAAAAATAATTTCCACTGCAGCACACATAGCACAATAAGGGCACAGTGCAGGCAACTGGAAACAATTTGGCAGATTCATCTGAACAACAGCAAAAGTGGCAATTGGTACTTTTACAATGTGTCTCCATATGTGTTTTTAATATATCATGTTGCTAAATTATAAGCACTAAGGATATTACTCGCTGCAAACCCACAAAACTTCCAATTTCCTGTGCTTTCTAAATCATAGAACAAAGTACAAAAACATGTTCTGGATACACTCTTTTTTTAATTATTTTCAGACTAAAATCAGTAAACATTTACCATTTCATCTAACCAAATGTAATGTATAATAAATACAACACACACATAGAGTTGTTTGGAAATGAGTTTAGAATGAGGAGAAACACAATGTACATGCTTAGTACTAACTAACCACATGCATATGCTGCATGCAATGAAGAAAATCCATGACCGAAAAATATCAGGAACTGTTGCAAACTATGACCCATGGCATCACAAAAGGCTTTGTTTTGGAAAGATAACAGATCAGTAGGTGTGCCTAAGGCCTCTTTCACATAGTCTAATCAGGAGGGGATCCATACACAGATCCCCTGCTGATCAGAAAGGATGTCACTGTTGTGACATTCGTGTCCATCCGTATTTTTCCTCCATCTTGCGACCAATGTTGGTCTATGGGGAATCGGACACAAGTTCCTTTACATCTAACTACATCAGATTACCCTTAAACCGGCACGATTAGGTCCAGTGAAACTGAACTCTGATCCATTTGTTTTTCCGGACTTGGCCAGAGTCGGGGACCCGATTGCAAACTCCATGTGGAAGGGCTCTAAATGTCTACTGACATCAACGTATACATATAATAACACTGGTTTTCTCAATGAAATGGAGAATGTTCTGTTAAATTTGCACAGTACATTGGTCTCAAACTGCAGTATTTGACATCTATATGCATGGCCACTAGTAAACTCAAATTTACAACTGTGAAGGACCAGCTTCCTAATGGTGACAACAGTGGACCATACCATTGTTGACACAGCCACTAGTGGTCTCCATTGGAAAACAGGATGACAACACAGTAGCACAAATAGGAGGCAGTTGTTGCCCTTCATGGCAGCATAAGCAGGTATTATTTTCATGATTATTTAAAAAGACTAAAAAAAACTTAGGGGGTTATCCAATTAAGAGCCGACGGATTTAGCCGAACCTTTTGGGATAATCCTTTAGCACGCTTTGGCTGCAGGAAGCCTTCGGTTCAGCCAAACCGAAGGGCTGCTGTACGCGCTATTCACAATAGTCCGTACAGCAGCCGATGTAAACAGACGAGCCGAATGCACATGCTTCGGCTCAGCACAGCCATACATGGAACAAATGGGTGTCGCGAGTCATGTGACGTCATGGGACTCACGACGCCCATTTGTTTACATGCTTATATATATATTTTAAAATAAAGGACTTTTTTTGTTCAATAAAGGATTTTATCAAGTACTGATATGTTTATTTACTTTTTGGTGAATGAATAGGGGTAACAACTACCACTTACTCATTCACAATGGGGGGGGGGGGCAGCACCTAGAGATCCCCCTTCATGAAATGTGGCCTGGTATGGTGCAGGGAGGAGGGGGCACTTCCTTCTCCCCCCCTTTCCTGCCCTGCTAGGCCACAGCTCAGATTAAGGGTCTGGTTTGGAATTTTATGGAGTGCCCACTTTATTTTTCCCTTTTTTTGGGTGTTGGGGGTCCCTCTTAAAATACCTACCAGACCTGAAGGGTCTGGTATGAATTTGTAGGGTAACCCCACGCATTATTTTTTTTAAGCAAGTTGAATGCAGCCGATGTACAGCTAAAAATAGCTGTACAGGGCTGCAGTGAATAGCCGAACAGGCTTTGGCTCACTTCACTTTGGTTATTAATTCGGCTGCCTTCGACAGCTTAGTGAATAACCCCCTTAGTTTATATGAGAATTTACTGATTGGGTTTAGATCTACATTATAGCCGATAAGCAAAGTCCAGGTTCACTTTATTATCATATGTACAATACATTTTCTGGATAAAGTCACATAACAAAACCAGAGAACTCTGATTACAATAGAAAAGGCAGAATGTAGCATTTTATATTGTAAATGCCAAGAACGCGGTTTGAGACTGCTTAAGACACATTACTGACTTGAAATAAAGCCAGCCTTGGCATGTGTTTCATCTGATGACTGGTAGAAGACACAATTTTTACTAGACAGAAAATTAAGAAATCTCTCCAACAGCAACAAAGACAGAAGTAAAAATGCTTTTTTTTAAATTACGTAGGGAAAGGCTGGAACCCCTGCCAGCTTTTATTGTTTTAAAGATGATAAAATATCCCCTGTAAGATTGTATTGTGAAGCAGAGTCGCTCTATTGTATTATTAGGTA